GTATATTTTGGTACGTCTTTTTTTTAATTATTTATCATTTATTTAGGAATTTCAAATACGTTTTTATTTTTTTTTAAAAATAATTTAAATGTAACCACAATAATAACATCTAATCACATTGTACGATCAACACATTATATGGTCAACTGTCACTAATAAAAAGTTTAAAATGATTTTTTGTATTTTTGAAGTGATTAGTATTGATTATTTAATAATTAAATAAAAAATTAAATACATAAAAAAGTAACGGTTTTTGGAGGGAAAAATATTCAATTGCCACATAGGTAAAATTATATAGGTTTTATTAAATGCTATTGGCTAGTAATTATATATATATAGATTGATCTGTATTTTACTTCTGGTGCTTACATATTTTATCCATTAAGTTAAACCTTTATAGCATTTTTATTACTTTTCATTTATATTTTTAAATTGAATATCCATAGATTATTTCATTAATATACTAAAACAATATACTCTTTAATAGGAATATTTGAAACCAATATTTCATATATAACAATAAATTATTTAAAAAAAAAAATGATACTAAAAAGAATACAAAAATGATGTAAAAAAAAACATTCCAAAAAATATTTCACACTTGAAAAATCATTATAAAACTATGCTTAAGCAAAAATACAAAATTTATATAAACAACCATTCCAAACATGATTTTTTTTTTTTTTTTCTCCTTTAAAAGAGGATGACATCAAATTATTAAATTTACTTATTGCAGAAAAATAAAAATGCTAAATTAACAAGAAAAAAAAAAATATATTAATAATAATCTATATATATGAGCATATATTCGTTTTTATATGTTTGAATAGTTCCATTGACAAGTGCATTATTCATTTACCACACAATCAGAATTCAGAATTGAGTCATATCTCACACAAATTTCATGTTGCCTTTAGGTTAACTCTATTGTCACATCTGAAAAAGATGGTATTCACATGAACAATTTTAAATTAAAATCGAAATAATTAAAATCTATATATATTTTGTTTTCACATAACTTAATGACATAATTAAAATCGAAATAATTAAAATGATGTACTATAGTAATTATTACTAATATGAAATATATATACGATGATAAAGTAAAACACGAAGATATTAATTAATTAATTAAGCAAAATCAGTACTAATTAATTGTCCTATTGGACTACATTGTGGAAATTAATAACAATTCTAGAAGTAAAATTATTTTAGGATCAAAACATTAGGTTTGTGACATCAAAGGTTTATAAAATACTTGGATTATACTGATTGAATAGTTTGATACGTAATATCCTAACTTTAATTTATGGATATACAGACTGACTAAGGCTATAGCGCAAGCTAAAAAAAACAAATTAGGTACACTATATTTATATATTAATTAATGAATTTTTGATTTAGCTCATTCTATATCTAAGTTTAACTATTTTGTGATTCGATGGCTAAGGGCTTGATTGTTTATGGAATAATTTGTTCAAAATGAGTTATTTTGGTTAACCATAGTTAGTTTTGAAAAGGTAGTATGGTTAGTTGTTAGTAGAATTTTAAAAATGTATTAAAATAATATTTAAAATAAAATGATTAAAATTGATTTGATGTAAAAGTAAGAGATAAATGATTGGAAATGATAGGTAGTTAAAATTATGTGAGTGGATGAATAGTGAATTAAAGTTGATGTGATATGTAAGAATGATTGGTTTATATTATTAATTATATGAATAATATTAAAAACAAGGTTTTAAATAGCGGGCTAAAACGTTTATGGCACTGTAGCTATAGCGGAGATTTAGCGGCTAAATTGCACATGAATACAAATAGCGACACGCTGCCAAAAAAAAACTATTTCTCAAATAGCGGCAACTTTAGCGAGCTATTTATTTCCTTGATTAAAAATAATGGGGTTGAGTTAAAGTTGAGTTAAATTTTGAGCTGAAATAAAAGTGAGTAAATTAATCCATAAACAAACAAGCCCTAAAATCTCCATGGAATTGAAGGCAGGATTGAATACTCCATATTAGAGAGCAATTGATATCATTTTATTTTGAAAATTTTCTTTTCTTTAGAGCGAATAATGAAATTTGAGGGGTCGATTTGGTGTATGCCGGTGCCTGTGTTTTTGGTCAGGGTTATTGGCCTCTGTGAGCTCGAGTGTCAACTTTATTATTTTGTTGGGATCAGACACTCGGTTATTATTCTGGTGGGATCTTTTGTTTAGTAGTTTCTGTTGTTGTTGGTGTAGTTGGTTAGTTTAGTTGCGAGCGTTTTTATTCTAGTGTTGCTAGTTGGGATTCTAGGCGGTCTTCTGATCGGTCCTCCTACTTTTTCAGCTGTTGGTTGTTCTTATTCAGCTAGGGGCTATGTAATTCGCACAGTTGTGCATTTTGATTTATAATATTTTCTATCATTTCGGCAAAAGAAAAAAAAAATGAGTATGAAATAAAATAATTTTAAGTATTATTTTTTATTGTTTTAATTGTTACTTTGATATAAAAAAAAATATATTAAAAAATTATATGAATTGTTAAAAAATATATTTTGTCTGTATCATGAAGATATGTTTATTTTTTTACCTAATTTATGAAAACAAAAAATGGTAAAATTTAAGTTTTGTTCGCCTCACAAAAATTTGTGTTTATGCTATTTATTTTATTTATGAAAG